TTTGAAAATGATGTCTCTCTATATTTCGTTCTAAATTTTTTATTTTTTGTCGCCAAAAGAGAGAAATTTACCCTTGAACAACTGTTAGAAAAAGAAATGACATATCAAGATTTTATTTTTTGCTGTTGTTGCTAACTGCCTTTATATGCTGAACAATTTGTTTTGTCATATGTGTTTTTGCACTTATGCAATCTCAAGCCATTGTTCTCTCTTGGAACATTAAAATCTGTTGGAGCCTATGTATATATGATTTAACTAGATTAATGCATGCACAATTTTCTCATGGTTTTCTGCTCTGACATTCTTTCAACTGATTACTTTATATATAATACTTTATAGTGCTGTTTGTTTCCTTGTGTTTAGCAGTCTATTTATATTGATTTACCTTTTTTCATTTTCCCCCTTTTTAATTATTTTTTCCACTGGTGGATCTTCCTGTTTTTCTTGAGGTGGCATTAAGTTTAGTTCTTTCCGATGTCTTAGTAGTGGCACAAGTGGGATGATGCAAATAATTTTAAAAGAGTAACATCATCATTATTATTATTTTCACAATTTCTTTCTTTACTCTTTTTTTTTGTGTGTGTGTGTGTGTGTGTGTGTCTCATGCTCCTCATCATAAATCACGTGGATTTTTTCTTCCTAACGTAAGGTATTGAAGTTTTTATGTATACTATTCCAAGCTCAAGTACAGAGGACATTTAGAGTGTTTGGTTGAAACTTGAAATTTTATTTCTTCATTTCCTAAAGGACTTTTCTACGTTTTTCACCTATAATCTTGACTTTATTTTCTGAAGAAAGTTGAGGTGTCTGTTATAGCTTTTCATGTTTCTCTAGCCACTTGTTATTCGGAATGTAAAGAGGACGAGAGTAAAATTTAATTAATTTAGTCTCTTCCATTCCATGAACTCAACATAATGCATTTGCTTTGTTTTGATCAGAGATGTCAAAAAAGCCAAAAAACTGTTCACTCCTCCTCGTGAGGTCCACGAACAGGTGACCCATTCAATGCCTCCCGAAAAACGGGAGATCTTTGACTCCCTTCAAAACTGGGCCGAAAATAACATCCTTATCCACCTCAAGCCCGTCGAAAAATGCTGGCAGCCCACAGACTTTCTCCCAGATTCTTCCTCAGACGGGTTTTACGATCAGGTCAAAGAAGTGAGGGAGAGGTCAAAGGAAATTCCGGACGACTATTTTGTGGTATTGGTTGGGGACATGATTACTGAGGAAGCACTCCCAACATATCAGACAATGATAAACACTTTGGATAGTGTTAGAGACGAGACAGGTGCCAGCTCAAGCCCATGGGCTGTTTGGACAAGGGCTTGGACTGCCGAGGAGAATAGGCACGGTGATCTTCTTAACAAGTATCTTTATCTCTCTGGACGTGTTGATATGAAGCAAATCGAGAAGACAATTCAATATTTGATTGGTTCGGGGATGGTACGATTACTTTCTTAATTAATCTTTCCCACATTTAGTTAGTTAGTTACTTCTCCTTATTCTTCTTACGTTGGGCCATAGTTAGTATTCTTGGGGAGGAAGTAAACAGAATTTGAAAGTGGCTCAAGTCTTTTTTGCTGAATGAATTCTGCTGATGGTATGAAAATATTTGGAAATTAAATGCAGGTGTTTTGATGAATTGGGTTAGATATAGAAAATGCAGCTCGGTAAGATATTCCGAAATCTTGTTTTGAGGATGAGTCCTCATATGTTTGGTAATTCTAGTTAGTGTAGTGTAGAGTTTAATCACCAAAAGTTGAGATATTGCAATTGTAATCAATGGTGTTCCATACATAATTCATCATGGTAAATATATATAACTCAAATTTCATTTTTTTTTCTTTTAATCAACTAACATAACAGGATCCTCGGACAGAGAACAACCCGTACCTCGGATTCATCTACACTTCATTTCAGGAAAGGGCAACTTTCATTTCTCATGGAAACACAGCTCGTCTGGCTAAAGAACTCGGGGACCTTAAACTGGCTCAGATATGCGGGACCATAGCCTCGGATGAAAAACGGCATGAAACGGCCTACACCAAGATTATCGAGAAGCTCTTTGAAATCGATCCTGATGGCACGGTTTTGTGCCTTGAGGACATGATGAGGAAGAAAATCACGATGCCAGCTCATCTGATGTACGATGGCAAGGATGATAACTTGTTCGAGCATTTCTCGGCTGTGGCCCAGCGGCTTGGAGTCTACACGGCCAAGGACTATGCCGATATCTTGGAATTCCTGGTGGCCAGATGGGAGGTTGACAAGTTGATGGGTCAGTATAAATTTACTATTATTGGCTTATTTTATTTTTATTCTTATATTTTATGGATGGGTTTTTCTACATATTATCTTGCAGAATTATGGAAAAAAAAAAAGGTACCAAACTCACAATTTGTCTACACACATGATAAAATGACAGATTTTACTCATAAAGTGGAAACTATACGCATGTTGTTAGATAACCCGAATGGTTTATTAGGGGGTGTTTGGTTCAATGTGATAGTACTTGAAATTGATGTTCACATCAGGAACTCATGCTCTACTAAGTACTAACAAACACAAAACAAACAAATTGGTTTATAAAGCATTCTTAATCGAACATTTGAGCAGAAATGCTACTTTTTTCAGCTTACATGCTGCCCAAAACAAACAGGTCTTTCAGGTGAGGGGCGTAAAGCGCAAGACTATGTGTGTAATTTGCCGGCGAGAATCAGAAAGCTGGGGGAGAGAGCTCATGCGAGGGCAAAGCAAGTACCACCTGTGCCTGTAAGCTGGGTGTTCGGTAGAGAAATTAAGCTTTGAGTAGAAAAAAAAATAACTACTTTTAGGTCAATTGTGGGCACCAAACATCGCAAGTTTAGTAAGTTTGCCATGTTGTCTTTCACTAGGATGTAAAATTCCGGTGGGTCGCTCCTTTTAGTTTTCTTTGTTCTTTCATGTATTTCAGAAATCCTTAGAAGGTGTGTTTTTGGTGCAGTATCATGGTGAAATTGAATAAATGCCCTCTGTGCTCTAAGATTTAAACAAAAAACTGTGTGATATGGTCAAAATTCAGAATCTGTTTTGATATTTGTAAGAAATGATTTGGAAAACACAAGAAATTCTTGTGTGAATTGTTAGTCTCGGGTTGATTAGTCCTACTTTTTTAACAAAAAATTATAAAAGTATGATTACGTAGCTGGCTTACCTGCAACATGAAATAGAGAGGGACAATCTTGGTTTGTAGGAAAAAATGTGGGTTGGGAGTTGGACGAAGATGGCCACGCGAGCTTGAGCTTCTCTGTTGGGAGTTTGTCAGAGTAGGTCGCTCGCTGTTGTTTTTCACCGAAATCGTCACGAAATATCTGAAGGTGCAAGAAGAAATGATAAAAAAGAAAGAAAGAATTTGATAAAAAAAAATTGCTAAACTTTTGTGATGGTGACGGTGATGTTAACAAGCTCATTTTCTGCATTTTTTGGGGAAAGATTTTGTACTAATGAAGACTGCCTAATGGCACGGGGTGGTGTTGCTGCTAGGCTGAAGATGAACTTCATCTCACTCTTACCCCGACTAGGGGGATCCTTCATTCAGAATTAGACTCCAAAAAGTATATTTCGACCAATTTTCCATTCGGCATCTTTTGGATTGAGAAAGTGGCGATTGAGCATTAAGCGTTTTGGATTAGATTTGAATTTATTGAATAAATTGAGTTA